TGGTTATGTACACAGCTTGAACTCAGATCTTGGTTGATTTATAATAATTTTAGAGTTTGAATCAAATATTTGTCACAGCAGCGATATATTTGACATTGCTGGACCCCTGATCATTTCATTATTCACATTCTAGTTATTTATTATTTATATTACTGCAGCGCCTCAGAGCCCTATTCATGGACCATTGTGCTAAGTGCTGTACAAACAGAACAAAAAGATTATGCCTGCCCAAAGGAGCTTATAATCTATGTATCAGACAAGAGACAGCCAATGACTATAGACCAGTAGTGCCCAAACTTTTCCTGTCGCGCCCCCCCCCCATCAGTCATGGAATCTGTCCTCTCCATTACTGTACAGTTGGCTCAGCAAAGGAGCTTGGGCTGAAGGTGGAGCTGGGGGAGAACTGGGGCTAGAGGCAGAGCTGGCCTGGGGGTGAAGAGAGAATGAGGCCAGGGCTGGGTTGGGGGGCGGAGCAGAGGGTGGAGTGGAGCTGGGGCTGGGGCTGGGCAGGGGGTGGAATGGAGCTGGAGCAGCACAGCCGCATAACCCCTGAACATTCCTCCATGTCCCCTACGGGGACGTGCCCCACATTTTGGGGATCACTGCTATAGACAAATGGGAGAGTACCAGTCTTCACTGGAGCTCGTAGTTGCTACTGTAATACAAATAATCATAAATCTGTAGTTCCACTACAACTGTGGCAGAAGTGTGCTGTTGTATTTTTAATTTTGATAAGGGGAGGGCTAGTATGTTATACCTGCAGGAAATTTTTTGAATGGTTTATTCTTTAGCTAATAAGGTTGGATTCTTTTCTAACAAGTTCTGTTGCGAATAATTTGATCTTTACTTTTATCCTCCTTTCTACTATCTCCAGTACCCCCACAGACTAGAGATCACTGTTAACTTGCCCTATAGCAGATTCTAACAACTTTTGGCCATTGATAGCTGAACCAATTTAATGACACAGGATTTCTCATTTCTCTTTGCTAATGCAGGGGCAATGCTTCAAATATAGTAAGTATTGACTTGCTTTGCATGGCATCTTGTGTTCAATAAATGCAATTGTTCAATCCCTGTTTTGTAACACTTCCAGGGGTGAAATCCTGACCCCATTGAAGTGAATAGGAGTTTTGACTTCAGGGGACCAGGATTTCACCCTATGTGTGGAATGACTGTAGACATTTGACAATTACAAAGTTCATAGCTGTGTAAGGGTAATAGGTAGTGGCACAATAGTCTGTCAAAGAACAATCACTTGTAGGCTCAATACACATGCACTAAGAGGAACATTGAAATATCCCTCCTAATATGTTTGAAAATACGCACCTACCATGACTGAACAACTGCTTAGTGCTAGGAGTTTGATCCAGGCCAGAGTGCTCAGTACTAGGGCAGGTCAAACATTTTCCATCAAAACTGTTCTTCAAGGTTTTCTACAACATAAATTATTTTGTAAAATGTGTCTGCTGTCAGTGGAAAATTTCAGCTTTTCATTGAAAAACCAAATATACCTTTACCCCGATATAATGCTGTTCTCGGGAGCCAAAAAATCTTACCACGGAGCGCTGCTTTACCGCGTTATATCTGAATTTGTGTTATATCGGGGTAGAGGTGTACCCCCAAACGGCAAAGTTTTTGATTTTCAGCTGAAATCTGAAAAATGTTGTCTGAAAACCAAAACGTTTCGATTTAGTTTTGATATAGTCTGGCCAGGAAGCTCAGCCTGTAGAAGAGAATGTGTAGACGAGAAGCACCCAAATTACAACTCTCATGAGGTGCCCTGGCAGCATTTCCAAATCCAAATATTCAGTGTTTGATTTTTCGCCAAACATTTTTGGAGAACTATTTTTTTTATTTTTCATAGACTTTTTCCACAGGAAAAAAAAACATTTTTCTGACCAACTCTACTCAATACTTTGCAGAGCTGAGCCCATATTAAGTAGTTACTTACTTCTGTTGACATAAACACTACGAGTCATTGGTCTGACCTCAGTTGTTATTTACCATGAAAGACAATGAATATTGATGGTCATCAAAATATGAGGTTGATATTAGCATTGTTAAATACTTCTGAATGTCTCCAGTATGGTCATGAGTTTCAGAAGTGTAAGTGTTTTTCCTTCTAACATTCTAAAGAGGAGAAGAGTTAGAAAATCCAGAAAAAAAACCTATTATTCACTTCCAGTGAGCTGAATAATAATTTTTGCTGCATACATCATAACCTATCAAGTTGCAGTCATTTGCAATAAAATTTGATTGTTTAAAATTGTTCTAGAACTCATTTTATTGACCTTTGAGGAAATAAACAGTAGATTTTTATTCATCACATGGTTGTTTCAGCCAGTCATGAGCCATGATTTTTTCCAAGGATGTGACATTACAGTTTACATTTAAATTAAATTGTTTTAACTGTAAAACACTCCCTAAAGTTTTGGTGTGTGTGTATATAAAATATATTGTTTTGTTTTTTAACTGCACCTGAAATCATGTTTAGAATAACAGATGTGAAATACTGTCATCTAACTGTCACACCAATTGTTCATTGTTCTGAGAAGGTCACATCATAATTCATTAACAATAATTATTCCCTGGGTACACCCTGCACTTCTTCACTCAATTGCTTCATTAACTTGTGAGTTAATCTCACATTCACTGCTCTAATCAATGAAGATATATTTATAATGTACAAGTGAATGCTATTAGTTACAATATATTAACTGCCTAATTTAAAATAGAAAAGCTATCTTTGTGAAGGGCAATTAACCACTAAGTGTAATTGATAATTCACATACCTATGATTAGGAAAGACAAATAATAAGAAAGAAATGAATCACCTGTGTTATTGAAGAAGACATTGCCAGACAGTGTAAATGTGTAGAAGGGGCACCCTACATTAGGATCAGATTTCTAAGAATTCTTTCTGATGGAAGATTCTTCACCAAATATATTATCAAACTAGTTTTGCTGTTTACACCATGCTACTATGAACTTCGTTGGGGAAAGAATCTGCACATTTTGTCATCTTGAGAGGAGAAGCAGAGCAGAATGATCTTTCCTTACAGAAAACTATTGTTTCTTCTTACAATATGTTAATAAGAATTTATAAAATTAGTTCCAAACTATCAAACACTGGTGCTTAAGGTTAGGCATCTAAATCCATATTAACTTCAGTCCTTTTGGCCAAGATTTTTTTAAAGCAACTAGTGATGTGGTGTGGCTCCATTTCTGGGTGTCTTACAAGGACCTGATTTTCAGAAAGTCCTCAGTGCTTATCCTCTGAGAATAGGCCTTTTTGTGGATCTCAGGTTGGGCAACGAAAACTTGAGGTACCCATAATCACTAAATTGCTTTTGGAAAATCTTGGCCTTTATGTCATGGCACAGGATAGAGTCATGAAATAATTGTCAATATGACTGTAATTAAGCATAATAACAATAACTAGCTCTGATATTGCACCTTTCATCTGTAGATCTCAGAGTGCTATACAGACAAAGGTACCATCATCCCTGTTTTATATAGGGGGAAACCTTGCATAAGATCCCACAGTAGTGAGCCAGGAATAGAACTTTTGTTTCTTGCCTCGCCGTTCAGCACTCTAACCACTGTTAGTTCAGCACTACCTCCCCTTTCTCTAAGGAGCCAGACGTGCTTTACAAACATTGATTAAACCAGTCAATATTTCTGTGAGATAGTCAATCATTATCATTTATCACCCTTTCATGGATGGGTATATTGAAGCACATGGAGGTTAAGACCAACATTTTCAAGTTTGAGTGCCTAAAATAAATCCATATAAAGGTACCTAACAAACAGAGCCTTGTTTTTCAGAGTTGCTCAGCACCCAGACTCCCAGTGAAGTCAACAAACAACAGCACAGATGTTTTGTTTCAGGACGAGATTAAATTGTGGCTGCTACAGCACTCATGCACATGTTGATATGAGCACCGCTTTTGCAATGTGAGGAATGAGTCTGGCTGTACTTTGTGACTATACAAGTGCAAAATATTATTGTTTTATTATATAACAGGGTAACTCCCCTGCACTGTAATTCAATAGCCATATAATAGGGTTGATCATTGGAACAGAAGTTCAGTAAGTGGGAAGGTGCAAATCTGAGTTAAAATGCTACTACATGATGATATCATGCTAACCTTTATCATTATGGCTATATAATGCCCTCAGTTAATGAGTGCAACTCGCTGGACTAAAGGCTGAAAGATACAGAGCTAGATTTATCTCTTCTGCCACACAGAGGGAAAGTGCCTTTGAAAGGGTGATTCACCCCCTGGGGAATGGCCAGCATTGCTTGCAGTTCTATTTTATGGCTGTGGCTCTGCTGGTGTAGGTTGCCTATGAGCTGAGCTGAATCAATATGATTCTAGTGTGCCTTGGCCAGACACTTTCTGTTTTGTGCTGACCACTTTCTGGACTGGGTCAGTAGGCTCCAGGACTCATGTGCTGCTTGGACTCCCCGGTGGGGTGGGCGGGCTGTCCATCATAAGGGGTCCACAGCCTCGAGGTAGCTCAGTGGAAGCTGAAAGTAGACCACAGGTTTAAATGCTAGTTACTACCCTAGATTTACAGGTGCAACAGGAAAGTCACGTCCTGTGATCCACAGTTATGCCTGGCCCGAGGACGGTATCTTTAAAACGGTTGCAAACTGTCACTAAGTGCAGTAAGTGAGGGGGCTGGGTGTTCATAAAGAGGGGGGCTACTCCACTCTGGCACCTGGTCTTTTCATATGTGTTATAATTTTGAGTTAGATTCTGAGCTCCTTGTGGCAGGGCCTTGTCTTCTGATGTGCTTGTAAAGTGCTATTACTTTTGTTGCTCTATGTTAAAAAGTAAATAATAATACTCCTAGATCTTTACACCTGTGCTTAAAATGTATTCCTCCCTTTCCTTCCTCCCCTGGTTATACATGGGTTTTGAAAGTGGTCCCACTTTCTCTCCCTACACCTTACCTGTCTGATTAGCATCTCCACTCATTTTACACCACAGGATCAAAGCGTCTGGCCTGAAGTTGCGGTTCTGCACCAATGAAACCCAGGCCACTCGAGGCAAGTTTGTGGCGAAGCTCCAGCGCTTGGGGTTCAACATTTTGGTGAATGAAGTCACTGCCCCGGCACCGGCAGCCTGTCGCATTCTGAAGGAGCGAAACCTGAGGCCACACCTCCTCGTACATGATGGTGGGACAACACTTCAGTAGACTTTGAGACTAATACAGATTAGCAGCTCAGCATGCAGTGGATTGACAGCCAGTTTGGGTCAGGAGAGATGTCACTTTTACTGAGAAAATTGTGAGGATAAGAACATCTGGTTGATGTTTTCCTGTCAGGAAAAGCTCTTTAATTCCACTTTCTCCAGTAATGTAGCTGTAGCAAATGTCAGTGATGGGGCCAGATTCAGTTCTCATTTACCCTGATGCCACCCAGTAGATCTGTAAGCAGGTGGAATGACTTAGTCTCATCAGAAAAGCACAGCCCTCAAGGCCTTTTCTTTAAGCAACAATGTTTATAACAAGCAATAAAACAGAGAGAACACAGGCAAATAGAGTGAAGAAAAACCTCACCATCCTGGGTTTGCAGTCTCAGCTTCCCAGTGGTAATCTCCCCCTTCTGTCTCCCAAGCAGAGAGGGAGGCTGAGCTGCATGAATCCCTTATACATCAGGGATCAGACACTGTGGTGTCTTGCACCCTGTCACAGGTCCATTGAAATGATACATAGATCTGCTGGAAGATGGTGAAATTGCATACCGAATGAATCTCTGCAATTCCATTGTGCTGGGGACCTTCTGGGGCTGAAAAAGCTGAATTTTACCCTTATAGTGTATTAGGGGCAAAATTCTTCGCTTGCATAGATACGTCTCCCATTGAATTCAATGGAAGTTGCACCTGTGTGCCTGGTCTACCCAGACTTTGCGTACAGGTGCCCACAGGTAAGAAGGCACTGTGTGCTGATTTATTCTCCCTCTGGAGTAGCTATGCAGGCAGTGGAGTGGGGAATGATGGAGCCTTGGCTCTGACTCCCCAAAATGCCACCAGTGCCGCTGACCATACATAGTGGGGTTTCACAATTTGCTCCTGATGTAGGCCAACAGAAGTTTACTACACTGTGCCTCCTGGAGCTACTCCTGGGGTGGGGCAATATATGCACCACTTTACTCAGGGATGCCAGAAGGCACAGTGTAGCCCTGATTTTGCAAAACAGCTGCATAAGCAGGCCCTACGTCCCTACTTGGCTGTCCCTGGTGAGCGCACGTTGTGTTACTCTGGAGCAAAACTGGGATTTCATAAAACAGAGAGATCAGTTTATCAGGACTGCAAAAGTTAGCTCTTTCCAGGGAGGATGGGGAATAAAATCCCAGGGCCTTTGAAAATTAAAATACAAGAGCTTATGGTCTTGGCCTACTCTTTTTTCATTATTTTTTTGTTAGAAAAAACAGGAAGGAAGGAATGATGTATGATTTATTAAAATAATATGCTCAGTTTCTGTGGGTATAAATATCAATAAGATGACCGTGTTTAAGAGACAGCAGATTCTTCTGTGTGTGAAAATCAAAATGGCATCTGATAGGATGTTTTATTAATAGAGACCGGCCAGAAGCTGGAATCGATGGAGGGTCTTCTGGAGGGAAATGGAAGGAGCGGAATTTCACTCCTCACCTCCCAAGCAGCAGGAAAGCAGCATAACTGAGGAAACCTCCTTTATCAAAACACCTATCTCTAGAGTCCCTGTCCTGTGCATTCTCTCCTACAGGTAGCTGTAGGAGAGAATGCAGGCAGAAGCCCAGCAGCAGAGTGGGGGCTATCCTGTTTATTGTGCTCAGTGTAGCATGTATGATTACCTGCCCTGTGGGTGGGTGGCATATGTGTGCATTCGGTGCCAGGAGCTCCTGGCCCTCAGAGACGGTGTATGGGCTTTGGAGGCCAGGGTGGCAGAACTGGAGGAGCTAAGGGAGGCAGAGAGGCATGTTGATGAGACTTTCCAGGACACTGTAGATATGTCCCACCTCCAGTCAGACAGCCTCCGTGCTGTTAAGGAGGATGAAAGGCTCAGGGAAGCAGCGCAGTCAACGGGAGCAGAGGGGGAACCTTCCCGTAGTTGGGACCCTCCTTCCAGATGATGTTGGGGTATCCTCTCGCACTGAGGTTACCTCTCCAGGGGAGGGAACTCCAGTCATTAGGAAAAGGCAGGTGTTAGTAATGGGAGATTCGATCATTAGAAACATAGATAGCTGGGTTTGCGATGGCCGGGAGAACCAGATGGTGTCTTGCCTGCCTGGTGCGAAGGTTGCGGATTTCTCGAGGCATCTAGATAGACTTATGTGTAGTGCTAGGGAGGAGCCGGTGGCTGTGGTACATGTAGGTACCAGTGACATAGGGAAGAGTAGGAGAGATGTCCTGGAGGCCAAATTTAGGCTGCTAGGAAAGAGACCCAAAGAGTTCCATAGAATCTCTATGGATAGTAATTCCATGCTCTAATAAGAATATAACAGTAGGGATCTATTATCAACCACCTGACCAGGACTGTGATAGTGACAATGAAATGCTAAGGTAGATTAGAGAGGCTATCAAAATAAAGAACTCAATAATAGTGGGGGATTTCAGTTATCCCCATATCAACTGGGTACATGTCACCTCAGGACGAAATGCAGAGACAAAATTTCTCGATACTTTAAATGACTGGGGAGCAGCTGGTACAGGAACCCACAAGAGGAGAAGCAATTCTCGATTTAGTCCTGAGTGGAGCACAGGATCTGGTCCAAGAGGTAACTATAACAAGACTGCTTGGAAATAGTGACCATAATATAATAACATTTAACATTCCTGTGGTGGGAAGAACATCTCAACAGCCCAACACTGTGGCATTTAATTACAGAAAGGGGAAATATGCAAAAATGAGGTGGTTAGTTAAACAGAAATTAAAAGGTACAGTGACTAGAGTGAAATCCCTGAAAGCTGCATGGACACTTTTCAAAGACACCGTAATATAGGCCCAACTTAAATGTATACCCCAAATTAAAAGAACTAAAAAAGAGCCACAGTGGCTTAACAACTATGTAAAAGAAGCAGTGAGAGGGGAAAAAAAGGCATCTTTTAAAAAGTGGAAGTCAAATCAAAGTGAGGTAAATAGAAAGGAGCATAAACACTGCCAAATTAAGTGTAAAAATGTAATAAAAGTCAAAAAGGAGTTTGAAGAACAGCTAGCCAAAAACTCAAAAGGTAATAACAAAATGTTTTTTAAGTACATCAGAAGCAGGAAGCCTGCTAAACAACCAGTGGGGACCCTGGACAATCGAAATACAAAAGGGACACTTAAAGATGATAAAAGTCATTGCGGAGAAACTAAATGAATTCTTTGCTTCAGTCTTCACAGCTGAGGATGTTAGGGAGATTTCCAAACCTGAACCGTCCTTTGTAGGTGACAAATCTGAGGAACTGTCACAGATTGAAGTGTCACTAGAGGAGATTTTGGAATTAATTGATAAACCTAACAGTAGCAAGTCACCGGGACCAGATGGCATTCACCCAAGAGATGTGAAAGAACTCAAATGTGAAATTGCGGAACTATTAACTATGGTTTGTAACCTGTCCTTTAAATCAACTTCTGTACCCAATGACCGGAAGATAGCTAATGTAACGCCAATATTTAAAAAGGACTCTAGAGGTGATCCCGGCAATTACAGACCGGGAAGTCTAACATCAGTACTGGGCAAATTAGTTGAAACAATAGTAAAGAATAAAATTGTCAGACACATAGAAGAACATAAATTGTTGGGCAAAAGTCAACATGGTTTCTGTAGAGGGAAATCATGTCTCACTAATTTATTAGAGTTCTTTGAAGGGGTCAACAAACATGTGGACAAGGGGGATCCAGTGGACATAGTGTACTTGGATTTCCAGAAAGCCTTTGACAAGGTCCCTCACCAAAGGCTCTTATGTAAATTAAGTTGTCATGGAATAAGAGGGAAGATCCTTTCATGGATTGAGAACTGGTTAAAAGACAGGGAACAAAGGGTAGGAATAAATGGTAAATTTTCAGAATGGAGAGGGATAACTAGTTCCCCAAGGGTCAGTCCTAGGACCAAACCTATTCAACTTATTCATAAATGATCTAGAGAAAGGGATAAACAGCGAGGTGGCAAAGTTTGCAGACAATTATTAAACTGCTCAAGATCATTAAGACCAAAGCAGACTGTGAAGAACTTCAAAAAGATCTCACAAAACTAAGTGATTGGGCAACAAAATGGCAAATGAAATTTAATGTGGATAAATGTAAAGTAGTGCACATTGGAAAAAATAACCCCAACTATACATACAATATGATGGGGGCTAATTTAGCTACAACTAATCAGGAAAGAGATCTTGGAGTCATCGTGGATAGTTCTCTGAAGACGTCCATGCAGTGTGCAGCGGCAGTCAAAAAAGCAAACAGAATGTTAGGAATCATTAAAAAAGGGATAGAGAATAAGACGGAGAATATCTTATTGCCCGTATATAAATCCATAGTACGCCCACATCTTGAATACTGCATACAGATGTGGTCTCCTCATCTCAAAAAAAGATATACTGGCATTAGAAAAGGTTCAGAGAAGGGCAACTAAAATGATTAGGGGTTTGGAACAGGTCCCATATGAGGAGAGATTAAAGAGGCTAGGACTTTTCAGCTTGGAAAAGAGGAGACTAAGGGGGGATATGATAGAGGTATATAAAATCATGAGTGGTGTGGAGAAAGTGAATAAGGAAAATGTATTTACTTGTTCCCATAATATAAGAACTAGGGGCCACCAAATGAAATTAATGGGCAGCAGGTTTAAAACAAATAAAAGGAGGTTCTTCTTCTCACAGCACACAGTCAACCTGTGGAACTCCTTGCCTGAGGAGGTTTTGAAGGCTAGGACTATAACAGGGTTTAAAAGAGAACTAGATAAATTCATGGAGGTTAAGTCCATTAATGGCTGTTAGCCAGGATGGGTAAGGAATGGTGTTCTTAGACTCTGTTTGTCAGAGGGTGGAGATGAATGGCAGGAGAGAGATCACTTGATCATTACCTGTTAGGTTCACTCCCTCTGGGGCACCTGGCATTGGCCACTGTCGGTAGACAGGATACTGGGCTGGATGGATCTTTGGTCTGATCCATTATGGCCATTCTTTTGTTCTTATGTGCTCTAACGATGCAATCATGCTGCCTTCCCTTAGAAAGAGGACAATGGGTTACCATATTCTCATAGTCTCTGAAAAGGATACTCTCGGGGCCTGTTGTGGGAGATCTAGCTTTGATTTCCAACCCCACATCCTAGATTGTGGAGAAGGAGGGGTCTGATGGGACAAAGAACATCTCATTTCATTCAATAGCAACCTTCTAGTCAATTAAGGAGAGTTATAAACAGGTTCCTAGGGAAACTGAACCTCTCTAGTCTTTCTCAGTAAGACATAGGGTTTGATTCAAAGCCTACTGAAGCCAATGAGAGTATTTCCGTTGACATCATGGGCTTTGGATGAGGTCCAGAGTCCTCAAGGCATATGGTAAGTGGTATTTAAAAAAGGGAAGACATGGAAATATCCTCAGGGAAATTACAGGGTGAAGTGGAAATCTCAGAGAAGGGAAAAGGACACCAGTAAGGTTATTAGGCTGTTAGGTCAGTTTATCTTGACATTTGGAAGGTGTCATTTTTGGGAATGCAGAGATGTGCTGTGTTTTGTTATCAATCCAAACTCCTTTCCAAAATGTAACTAAAATGCTGATCTTCAGCTCTGTGTCCGAGTCATTCTAAACAACTGGTGCGTGCCTGCCATCTCATATTCATGCATCCCTTTCTCAAAAATCCAAAATGCCTGTATTTTGTTACATTTTGGGGATCTACAGTACTTCAGTTCTAGAAATAAATACATAATTGGAGCCCAGAAACTGAGAACTTGCAGATGGGAAACCACTGTTGAGGTACAGGAAGGCTGTTTTTTTTTTTTTTGCCTTGAACCTCTTGATAATATTGCTATTTTCTCTGGGTTCCCTTATTGTATCATAGTCGAGAAATACAGTATGATATTTTGCTATCCTTCTCCCCATGTCTCCTTTTGCTCCCCTTCCTTCCCATGCCATGTTGTGGAGGGAAGGTGCACGTGGTCCAGAATCCACTGCTACTCGAAACTAAAAGGGGGCTGACATGGAGATATTAACCTGGCATTCATAGTTTTGCCTGTCAGGCAATGAATGGAGGAGAGAGACAAAACTAGAAGAAAACCAGCTATTCCAATTGTTTCTTACAAGATGTGGGATTTGTGTTTTATTTTGTTGGTTTTTTTCCTCTTTAGATCTGGTCCCCGAATTTGATCAGCTTGATAAAGCAAACCCAAACTGTGTGGTAATTGGAGATGCAGCAGACAATTTCTCCTACAAAAATCTCAATGAAGCGTTCAGAGTTCTGATTGGACTGGAGAATCCTATTCTCATATCTCTGGGAAGAGGGTGAGTTAAGCACTGTTAGTTAGTACACCTCGGGCTGTATATTTTGCTAGCGTTCCCAGTCTGTTTGTACATACCTGTCGCTATACCTCATGAATCCCATTGCTCTCTTCTGCTGACTCAGTGACTGAGATTTTCAAAGCCAACTGGGGGACGTAGCCACACAATTCACATGTGTATGGGACCGGGACATAGATGGTCTGGCCTAGAGGTGACAGCTGGACTGGGGCTGCATGTCAGGGATGGTAGTTGTTGAGTAGAAGTTGGAGGAATCGCAAGAGCCAAGTTCAGTAAGCAAGAGTCAGGATCAGAGACTGGAGGTTAGACATAGTACCAGGCTGGAGTCAGGAGGCAAGGGTCAGAGTCAGGCTGGGATTGGAGACCAGAGATCAGGAGACCAGGGAAAGTCTGCAGTCGCAGCAGGCCAAAATCTATGTGGTTGCCCAGGCAACTGCTTGGGGCAATCCCTAGGGTTAAATATGGCACTTGGCCAATCAGGGGGCCACAGGGTACCATCACTTTGGCTCCCTTGGGTAATATTTCCTGTGGCACCTACTCTACACCATACTCCCTGGTGGCACAGTGGGAACATCCGCTATCCTAGGCTCTGCAGATCCAGGTTCTAGTCCATGGACCTGTACATTAATCCCCTTCTTTGGGGCGACAGGTCCGGTTTATCCAGATGGTCTTGATGAAACTTTTTTACCAGGTCAGGGGTAAGGCCATGGGCAGCAAGTTCCAAGGAGCGTTCTTCAGGACCATAGCCCTCCTAATTGATTAGGTAATACCAGTCTCCTCCTGTGCAGTAGAGAGTCAAGGATAGCGTGGACTATATGTTCCTCATGCCCTTGGACCAGGTCTGGCAGGGGCAGCTGCTGGGAGCGATTGCAAAAGAGGTCCTCTCTGTAAGGCTTCAGGAGGGATATATCGAAAACAGGATGTACCTTAAGGTATTGAGGGAGCTGTAATTTGAAGGTGAAGGGGTTGATTTGCTGACAGATATGGAAGAGTCTGAGGAATTGGTAGTCTAGCTCAGTGGTACTCAAACTGTGGGTCAGGACCCCAAAGTGGGTAATGACCCCCTTTGAATGGGGTCACCAGGGCTGGCTTAGACTTGCTGGGGCCCGGGGCTGAAGCCTGAGCCCCACTGCCCAGGGCTGAAGCCAAAGCCCAAGGGCTTCAGCCCTGGGAGGCAGGGCTCAGGTTGCAGGCACCCTACCTGGGCTGAAGCCTTGAGCTGCAGCTTTGGCCCCCCTGCCCAGAGCAGTGGCACTTGGGCTTTGGACCCCCTACCCAGGGCATTGGGGCTTGGGCGGGCTCAGGCTTTGGTCCCCCCTCCTGGGGTCGTGAAGTAATTTTTGTTGTCAGAAGGGGGTCACGGTGCAATGAAGTTTGAGAACCCCTGGTCTAGCTTGTGGGATGGCTTGTTTGAATAGAGGTGTTTTGCTGCAAGCCAGGCCTTTTGATCCACCGTGAGAGCTGGGCCTTCCTGGCATCCATGATAAGGCGGTCTGTAAGCTCCTCATGCATATGAAGCCATTACAGACTAATAATGGGGAGGATCAGATAGCTCAGAAGGCTGGTAATGAGGTTCCTTATGTCTGAGTGAACAGCGAGCCAACTTTTCACTTCCAGGTTCAAATCCTGCCCAGATCGGTAGTGAGTTGATGCTATGTTAGGCTAATTGCTGTTCAGTGGTCTGTGTGAAATAAGTTGGCTATCACAGGCCAAGTTCTACTTTCAAATGATATCCGTGAAAACTAACTAGAGCTGCAGCATTCCTAAAGAATGGCTTCGATGCTGGGGCTCCACCATGTGCTATAAGAACCATGTAAATGAGAAGTTGGTTTCAGTACAGTAGCTTGAAAGTCATTGGCTGTTAGAGGTTGGAGGCTAAACGGTATTTGCCTATTATTGACTCTTCAGTAATGCTCTTGGTGTAAAGGAGGCTCATTGGTATGGCACAGGTTCCACAGCATGGCAAGTGTTCGCTATAAGCACAGCTTTCAGCTTATCCTGAAGGAGCTATTTTCAGAGGCCCAGTTCCAGCCAATCACTGAAGCCCATATTTAAAGTTTAGCATAGGTTTAAGTTGCTGTGCTGTAACAGAGTAAGAAAGATCAACATGGACTCCACTAAGGGAACTAAAGATCTTAGAGTCGAAGAGAACACTTGGAAGGAATCATGATGAGTCTTGCCTTTTACGTAGGAAGTGATGTATGGCACCTCCACAATGAACAGCAGTATAGCAATATAAGTATAATTAAAGACTATTACCAAGATAATTCAAAAAATTATTTCTGACTCAACTGTGTGCTTGTGATGGGTATAGCACCAACAGCACAGGGGGTGCAGGACAGGTTAAGCATGGAAAGTGTCCTGGAGGGACCAATTCTAGGAATAAGGTTAGTTTAGTCTTCATATCCCTTTAATCCTTGGCTTCTCTCCTGAGATTGCCAGAATGTGCAAAATAGTGTCAGCAAAATTAGGGCTTAAAAATCTTGATGATGATACCTCATTTTGTCATGGGGGTTGATAGGCCTTTTGTTGGCCAAGTAGTGATGATGATGGGCGATCACTCGTTACCAAGTATGATCATCTTCTATGGGAGTTATGGGTCCTCGGGTGGCTAATAAGGCCAATCCTTGAACCACAAGCTCTATTACAATGAGGGCAGATGTTTTCAGGCTCAGCAGGAGGCTGTTGACCATGACTGGAGAACAGTCTCTCCTTCCTCCTGCGCCTCTTGTCCTCTTCGGCTTGGCCAAGTAGTAGCATTCAACTAACAGGTGCTATTTTTAGTACTGTCCTGGTGTTATGACTGATACTGATTCACAAACAAAGATTTTATATATATGCACTCCTTCAGAGTGTGGGACAGTTTCAGGGCCTATGCAAATTTGGGACACAAACAGACATACATTAATGTTGCAAAAGCTATATAAAGGTGGACATATATTCTGAATCAAGTGATGGAGATGAAAAGTCCAGTGGCCAGAGCTGTCCCTTGGGTAGGACGAATTGGGGCGACCGCTCTGGGCCCTGCGCTTTGAGGGGCCCCGCGGGCTGGTGTGATTGGCTGTCACGGTCAGTCCCGGAAGAGACGAATCCGTCGCTTCCACCCCGGGCTCTGCACCCCCCCAGGGACGGCCCTGCCAGTGGCACATTCCTGCAAAGAAAACAGCGTGTTTAAAAGGTTTCAGAGTAGCAGCCATGTTAATCTGTATCCGCAAAAAGAACAGGAGTACTTGTGGCACCTTAGAGAGCTCTGTATGTGTGTATATATATCTCCTCAATATTTATTCCACTCTATATGCATCCGAAGAAGTGGGCTGTAGTCCACGAAAGTTTATGCTCTAATAAATTTGTTAGTCTCTAAGGTGCCACAAGTACTCCAGTTCTTTTAGTGTGTTTAAAAGTTAGTTAACTGGAAGCTAAGCTGAAGACTGTAAGGCATGGGGGAGAAAACACTTCTTTAACAGAATGGCTGTAAAATCTGACTGAATTGGTATCCGAAGAGATTAGTAATCTGCACACTGCAAATTACCAGTGCACCCTTGGGTTCTGAGCAGTTTGAGCACCCTGCTATAAATTATGTGATTGATTCCAATTCTTATGCTAATCTTACACGTGTTATGCACCTGTGTAACTCTATTGATGAAGTTACTCCCAGTTTACACCCGCATGATACAGAAATCACCCTCACTGTCTGTGTGCTTAAAATTGAAAGAGAACTAGGTGGCAACATTCAATGTTAAGATAATTCAACCAATATAGTAACAGTGGGAGAGCCTCAGACCTATTACAGTTTACACAAGCTGAGGATAGTGCCCAGGCCTGCTCCGAATGAAATCAGTGGCAGTTTTGCTATTGGTTTTAATGGGACAGAGAACTGTCCTAGAAGAGGAGATAAATGTTACATTGTGATTTAATTGTCACGAAAAAGATCATGAAATTGTATTTTGGCTTTCCCACTTTTTAAAAGCTGCTATATTTAATACTGTCAAAATTTGAACATGAACTACATAGAACTTTATCCTGAAAATAACAAAGTTCCAGACCCTGCAGAGTAGGAAAAAAAAATCCAAAATGCACTTCATGATCCAAGAAAACAAATCAAATGACCACACTTAAAAAAGAATTAGCTCACAAGTTATTTTTAAAAGCCTTTACTTGTTTTTACATTGCACGTGATTTAATTTTTCTTTTTTTACAGGACAGGCAAATTGCATGCCATCGTGACTAAGTATGAGCTGCCAGCATTTATACCAAGACAAAGCAAATAACAGTGTTTAATTTTGCCCTAAGCGTGGTCAAGTTACCCCAAAGCTTTTAAGATTATTTAGTACATTTATATTTTCTTATTACAATGGTCATTCGTATTAGCACCGATCTTTAAAGTTTTCCAGATCAAGCTGCAGACAGGTCCCTATATGACTGAAAAAAATGTATGATGAGCAGTCAGATAAGATTTTATGCTTTATCCTGCCATTTTCGATTATTCAGCACAGCCTCTCTTTAAAATGGCCACTTGACCTTTGCTAGAACAGCCATTAACCTTCTATAGTCTAGCGTAAACAGCTTAATTTTCTGACAGTGGCATGACAGAAGAAATTACAAAGCCAATTCCCACTCTCAGTCCAAAACAGATGCTAAATGTAAATCACTCCATTTTCAGGAAGAGGGCATTCTGCTTCAGTGACTCTGACACTCTCTTGCTTTCTAGAGAATGAACTAAAACTTTAGAAGAAATCAGTCGAGTTGCTTCAAGGTGTTCTGTTTTTTCTTTAATTACTCTAATATTCCATACGTGAATAGTAAGGGCAGTTCGTTGATGCTATTTACGTGGCACTTTAGATCGCTGACCTTATTCTTGACATAATTTGTGCCACTCTCTCTCATACAATCTCTGTTTTCAGGATCTGGAAACCCATCTAGCAGGCTATCTAGCTCAGCAATTTCTATAACACCCCTGTCTGCAGTGTCCGTGTGCTTGGTCAGAAAAAATAGGCTCCAGATGAAATTTGAGCTCACAAAATTTGAATATAGGATATTTTTAAAAAAGAAACTTTAGTAAAAAAATTGGTCAGCCTGTTTTTAATTTAAGGCAACACAAGTAAATAAATACACATGGGATTCAAAGGCTTTATCACTTTCATGTTGCAGATCTATAACATAGGGGGATTCCGTTTTATATTTGGAAGGACAGTGTTATTTGCAATCAGCTGGTTATTCGATGTACAAAAGTGATGACATTGCTAGTTCTCAATTTTTTTCTTTATCTTTCTGGTTATTCTTCTAAGTGAAAAGTTGTAGGGACTCTTCACCCATATTGAAGAATCCACAGAGAAAATGTGTCAAGGGGTATCAACACAATGGATTTAGCTGCTCCTGGGCAGCCAGGAAGCTGTACTCCAACAGGTCAATAATCCACAAACTAAGAAGATTTTTCCATTTCCATTATGGTCTATTGAGCCCTTGAGATAAGAAGTTGTCACTACAGCTTTTGGGGCCTAGAATGAACATTTAAAAAAAAAAAATCTATGTTGCACAACAGACAAGAATAGCTCCTTCAGGGCCACTGGTATTTATCTCTATTTTGGTTTAGCATTAATAACCTGCTCTTTAAAAACACAAAAAGAACTATGACTAAATCAGCTTTTTGAAAAGCTTCACCTCCCCAGTAGGACTTCTCCAGCCTGAATAAAACAAGTTGCCAAATGTAGCCCAAAGTATTATGTCCTAGCTGCTGAAAAAGACGGTGCTCCCCCTGTCCCAAAACACAGTCAACACGCACAGTGGAAGGGTGCGTGCGTGGGCATGGCCTTATTAAAAAAGATATCTCAGTATAACACTTAGGCAGGCACCAAGATTTTCAGAGCCACTAGTGATTTTGGGAGCTCAGCTTGAGGCAGCTGATTCAGAGGATAGGTGCTCTGCAATTTTTGAAAATTAGGTCCCTTTAAAACATCTCAAGTTGGGCACCCAAAACAACTTTGAAGACCTTGGCCATAAATGCCAGTGTAAGCCTTCTCTCCAGATTGCTTCTCGACTTCCGTCTTAGAACTTCTCAGCTTCAACCTTTTATTCACAGGACCACTCAAGAGAAAAATCCACACACACTTCCCTTCTATCCAGGGTGGAGTTAAGAGACTACACCTGCTGCAGTGAATCAGCAAGATTCCCCATTAGCATCTCCCTGCAATATTCATTTAAACTTTGCAGGAAACACGTGGAAAAAGTGTATGTGTTTGTACCGTGACTACCACTATCGGGCTCTGAATCTGTTTGAGGCCATTGCCTGCTACCACAATATAAATAATAACAACAAACTAATGGTTTAAGATTTGTTAACAGATACATAAAAAAATTTAGTCATTAATATATTATGCAATCTTTCTCCATGTATTGTTTGTGTGTAAGTGGTATATCCTGTGCCTTGTACAGTATAGTCCTAATACTGTGCAGAACTTGCCAAAGTTAATGGCAAAACTGATTGATTTCATTGGGAGGAGGTGTAGACCTCCTTAAAAACTGTAGCCAGATAGAACCAGAGAATTCTGTTGGACCTGATATAAGCAGTTGCAACTCCATTGAATTCAATGCTAATAATTGGCAGTTCATCTGTCCATAAAGAGATTAAGTTCTAAGAGCGCCTCTAAGAAAAGAGAGGCGCTCTTAAACTGGTTGTGTTATTTTGAACCAAGAGCCTCCTTGGCCAGGTTACCCCAGAACTAATGTCCCTGTTTTCTTCATGTGAGAACAGTGGGTTAGCGATTAGCAATTAGGGAGTAGTAACGCAGCTATCATCCTTTTGTGAGAAACACTAATATATAGCAGTGGTAACCACTTTAAGTAGAAGCACTGGGCCAAATTCAACCCTGGCATAGGATGGTTGAATTTCATTGGAGTCAATGGAATTGTGTGACATGTGCAGATCTGAATTTTGATCTTGGGATCTGGTTAGGTCTCCCCGTTAGCAGTGCACCACATTGAGTAGCGGACAGACTGTGTAGTACAATTCAATGTAAATTAAGTCTCCAGAATTCCTAATTACTTACCTTCTACTCCCAGCCATACACACATTCGTATAGGCACAGAATTAATATAATATAGTTTATGTTCAATTGCCAACATCTTTATCACTTCAATTTCCAGGCGCTATTATAAAGAAACCGATGGTCTGAAACTTGATGTTGGAGTGTATATGAAGGCATTAGAGGTATTTTATAGCTTGCATTATGTTTACCTGCTCTGTGCACCTTGCTCAAAGTAACAGATAGCACATATTTCTATCTTCTGTAATTCTTTTTGCTCAGTTTGGGAGAGGAAATGACTATAAATTAACTGCATTGCTGTGCATGTGAATGGGTGAACTCATTCTGCTTGGCTCTGACACCATCCTTATATTATATAGTCAGAAGTTTCATCTTGAACTTTAATATTATTGGGCTCCTGTATGGGAAGGAGAGACAGTGGAAAAAGGAGTCAGAGGAAAAATACAATGAAAAAATGCAGTGAAGAATGGGGCAGAGAGAATTACTGTTACAGAGGCTAGATATCCCAACCAGGATTGGTGCCCCTCTCTGAAAATATCCACACCCCTTAGTCATATATGGAGATATACCTAGCCTCATAGAGCTGAAAGGGACCCTGAAAGGTCCAGCCCCCTGCCTTCACTAGCAGGACCAAGTACTGATTTTTGTCCTCGATCTCTAAGTGGCCCCCTTAAGGACTGAACTCACAACCCTGGGTTTAGTAGGCCAATGCTCAAACCACTGAGCTATCCCTTCCCCACAGATATGTATGGCATAGTTATACCGACCTTAACTCCCTATGTAGACAGCGCTGCTCTCCCACCAATATAGCTATTGCCTCTCACTGAGATGGAATTATTAAGATGACAGGAGAGCTCTCTTCTGTTGGTTTAGAGCGTCTTCACCAGAAGTGCTACAGCGGCACAGCTGCACTGATGCAAGTTTGTAGAGTAGACCTGCCCTGAGGCTCAGAGGGGGATTAAAAATAAATTCAGAGCAACTACGGAGAAAGGAGCAAAGTGGGAGGGATGGGGAGCTTTCTAATGGAAAAATAAAGAGCATATGTGAATGCAGTGAACTCATTTTTGCCAATGTAGCTTTTGGGGAGGGTAGCCTGCCCATAATAAACAGTGCAGGCTTCCTGTTAGCTAGGAATGCCTTATTTATTACAACATGGGTATATAATTACAGCTAAATAAGGCTTTCAACCTTAAAAATGGGCTATATGATTCACAAAACCTCCATATCCTTAAAATTCACCCACAATTCCTGAACACAAGTTTGTCAGCAAAGCACATCATTGCTGTAAAAATGAATTTTTGTGACTCCAGTGTGAGCAAGATTAGAATTAGAAGACTACTTTCATGTTGGAAAATGTGCTTAATTCTAGACATTTCAAGAGGGTTTTTGCCCCTAACAGAGAACAATCAACACTCCTATTATCCGAATCCTCTGTTAGTTACCTTCATCTACTAATCCATATGTTATTGAAAGGAATCAGTCAGTAATCACATACTCTTTCATACAATCTACAGAGAATGTGAAGTTGAACAAATCCTTTTCTAATCTATACAATATTATTTCTGTCCTTTTTCTTAGTATGCTTGTGATGTTCAAGCCGAGGTGGTGGGAAAGCCGGCAAAAATGTTTTTCCAATCAGCCTTGGCAGAAATGGAAGTTGAGCCACAGCAGGTAAGATTTCTTATGCAACATTCACTAGATGTGCTGCGTAGTTATTGTCACCTGAATAAAAAAATTTATTTGTGGGGCACCATCTGGCAATCTTTTCTCAGTCAAAACTTTCATTGAAACCAATGAAAGGATTGATGGTTTGTGGACTTCAGGATTGGGCCCACACTGGCAAATGAAAAGTGCTTTGTTCAGTGGCCATTCTAAAATGTTACATTATATTTACATTATACATATATTTATTCCCATGAAGTCTTAAAAAAGATCTGACAAAGAATCTTTAAAATAACCATGTAAAGAAAAAATTTCTGTCCCAACCCACAAATCTAATTAGACAGAAGAGTCTGACCTCATCTACTAGTGCAAATGTAGTATAAATACCTGAGTGCAGTGACCTGCTGTATTTCTTCTCCGCTGCTGTTCTTCTCAATCACTTAGTAGGGGTACTGTAATGCAGGAAATTCACTCCTGAAATATGCAACATCATTTTCCCATATTTTCTCCTCTTCCTCTTGTGATCCTTCGTGCCCTTCCATTACTTCCCTCTTCCTATCACTCTGTATCGTGTCCTGTACCATACACCTTTCCTCTCCTCTCCCTTTTCAATTGTTCTGTCCTTCCTTCCTTACCACCTTCCTCTAGTTCTGCCCTTTTACCACACTCTCTTTTTCTCCTCTCCACCATCTTGGAGTATTTCAGGAGGAAGGACTATTACTTAAGTTAAAAGAAACAACAACACAAAAAAGAACAAAAGTAGTCTCCACAAGGACTTTCCTCAATTTGTCCACATCTTTCCTAAAGTGTGATGCCTAGAATTAACATAAGAACAGCCATACTGGGTCAGACCAAGGTCCATCTAGCCCAGTATCCTGTCTTCTGACAGTGGCCAATGCTAGGTGTCCCAGAGGGAATGAACAGAACAGGTAATCATCAAGTGATCCATCCCATCACCCATCCATACAACTCAGAATAATATTAGCCTTTTTTGCAACTGCATCACACTGTTGACTCATATTCCATTTGTGATCCACTATAACCCACAGATCCTTTTCAGCAGTACTACCACCTACCCAGTTATTCCCCATTTTGTAGTTGTGCATTTGATTTTTCCTTCCTAACTGAAGTATTTTACACTTACCTTTTATTGAATTTCATCGTGTTGAATTCAGACCAACTCTCCAATTTGTCAAGGTCATTTTTAATTCTAATCCTGTCCTTCAGAGTGCTTGGAATCTCTCTGACCTTGGTAGCATTTGCAAATTTTATAAGCATACTCTTCACACCACTATCTGAGTCATTAATGAGAATATTGAATAGTACTAGAACCAGGCCTGACCCCTGCTAGATACACCCTCCCAGTTTGACATCAAACCATTAATAATTACTCTTTCAGGATGGTCTTTCATCCAGAAGTGCACCCATTTTATAATAATAATAATAATTTCATCTAGACCACATTTCCTTAATATGCTTATGAGAATGTCATGTGGGACTATGTCAAAAGCCTTATTAAAATCAAGATATAGCACATCTACTACTTCCACCCTATCCACTAGGCCAGTAATCTAGTCAAAGAAGGAAGTTAGATTGGTTTGGCACGATTTCTTCTTGACAAATCCATGCTGGCTATTAATCCTATTATCCTGTAGGTTCTTAGAAATTGATAGTTTAATAATTTTGTTCCAGTATCTTTCTAGATATAGAAGTTAAGCTGACTGGTCTATAATTTCTGGGGTCCTCTTTGTTCCCCCTTTTAAAGATAGATGTTATGTTTGCCCTCATCAAGTTATCTGGGACATCACCTGTCCTCTATGAGTCCTCTAAGATAACTGCTAATTTTCTGAGATTGCTTCAGCTAGTTCCTTATGTACCCTAGGATGAATTTCATCAGACCACGCCAACTTGAATATATTCAATTTACCTAAATATTTTTTAACTTGTGCTTTCTCTATTTTGGCTTGTGTTTCTTCTCCTGTGGTGTTGTCATTAATTGTGTTGAGAATCTGGTCACTATTAGCCTTTTTTAGTGAAAACTGAAGCAAAATAGGCATTAAACACTTAGCCTTCTTGATGTCATGGTTAGCCCTCTTTTCCTGCTAAGTAGAGGAGCTACACTTTCCTTCATCTTTTTCATGCTCCTAATGTATTTCAAGAACCAGTTCTTATTGCCTTTCATTGTGCCTTGCTAGGTATAACTCGTTTTTTGCCTTAGCCTTCCTGACTTTGTACTCCCCTTTTGCGGTTCCCTTCCACCTCTAGATTCACAAATAATTCCTCCCTGTTGGTGAGAATCAAGTCTAAAACGACTGTTCTCTTGGTTATTTCCTCCAGATTATGGAACAAAAAGTTGTCCCCAATATATTCCAAGAATTAATTGGAAATTTTGAGTTTTGCTGTAGTACTTTTCCAGCAGATGTCTGGGTAGTGAAAGTCCCCCATTACTACCAGATCTTATGTTTTGGATATTTCTGTTATTTGTTCTAGAAATGGCTCATTTATCTCCTCTTCCTGATTTGGTGGTCTGTAATACACCCCTGCCTCTTATCTTTTCCCAGAGACTTTCAGCTGGTCTGTCTCTCCTCTCCTTCTGGAGTGTCTCTGACCTCCTTCTGTACTTCAGAACAAGTGTATAAATTTTTGATGTATAATGCAACACCTCCTCTTTTTTTTTTAATCCTTCCCATCCTTCCTGAATAAGCTATACCCCTCTGTACCAGTATTCCAGTTATGAGACTTATCCCACCCTGATGCCAATTAAGTCATAATTTAGTTTATGGACTAATACTTCCAATTCTCCCTCATACTTCTTGCCTTTGTGTATAGACATTTAAAATGTTGAGCAGATTTCCCCACCGATTTACCTCTTGTTGCTCCCATGACCCTATTGTAATCTTCCACATTTCCCCCTCCAACCCTCTGTTAAGTTTGCCTTTTATTATACTTACCTGTGGGCTTTTGTCACCTGCCCCCTTTGAACCTAGTTTAAAGCCCTTCTTACTAGGTTGGTGAGTTGGTGGGCAAAGATGCTTTCCCTCTTCTTGGTCAGGTTGACCCCATCTCTTCCCAGCAGAGCATCTTCCCGGAACAGCATCCCATGGTCGAGGAAGCGGAAGCCCTCCCATCGACACTATTTGCGCAGCCATGCATTCATCTCCAGCATGTGTGTGTCCCTGTCAGGCCCTTGCCTGGAGAAACTGGAGAAAAGCCTGTTGAGAATCTTTGGGTTAAGTTTAGAAGCGAGAGCAACAAGGATGATGTCACGGTGGGCATGTTCTATAGACCACTGGACCAGGGGGATGAGGTAGATGAGGCTTTCTTCGGACAATTAACTGAAGTTTCCAGAGCACAGGCCCGGAATCTAATGGGGGACTTCAATCACCCTGACATCTGCTGGGAGAGCAATACAGCAGTACACAGACAATCCAGGAAGTTTTTGGAGTGTTGGGGACAACTTCCTGGTACAACTACTAGAGGAACCAACCAGGGGCTGTTCTCCTCTTGACCTGCTGCTTACAAACAGAGAAGAATTGGTAGGGGAAGTAGAAGTGAGTGGCAACCTGGGCAGCAGTGACCATGAGATAGTTGAGTTCAGGATCCTCACAAAAGGAAGAAAGGAGAGTAGCAAAATACGGACCCTGGACATTGACTCCCTTAGGGAACTGATGGGCAGGATCCCCTGGGAGGCTAATATGATGGGGAAAGGAGTCCAGGAAAGCTGGTTGTATTTTAAAGAAGCCTTATTGAGGGTGCAGGAACAAACCATCCCGATGTGCAGAAAGAATAGCAAATATGGCAGGCGACCAGCTTGGCTTAACAGTGAAATCTTCGGTTAGCTTAAACACAAAAAGAAAGCTTACAAGAAGTGGAAACTTGGTCAGATGACTAGAGAGGAGTATAAAAATATTGCTTGAGCATGCAGGGATGTAATCAAGAAGGCCAAAACACAACTGGAATTGCAGCTAGCAAGGGATGTGAAGGGTAACAAGAAGGGTTTCTGCAGGGTTGTTAGCAACAAGAAAAAGGTCAGGGAAAGTGTGGGACCCTTAATGAATGGGGGAGGTAACCTAGTGACAGATGAGGTTGAAAAAGTTGAAGTACTCAATGCTTTTTTTGCCTCTGTCTTCACAGACAAGGTCAGCTCCCACACTGCTGTTCTGGGCAACACAGTATGGGGAGGAGGTGAGCAGCTCTCAGTGGTGAAAGAACAGGTTAAGGACTATTTAGAAAAGCTGGACATGCACAAGTCCATGGCTCCAGATCTAATGCATCCGAGGGTGCTGAGGGAATTGGCTGATGTGATTGTAGAGCTATTGCCATTATCTTTGAAAACTCGTGGTGATTGGGGGAGGTCCCAGACAATTGGAAAAAGGCATAGATAGTGCCCATCTTTAAAAAAGGGAAGAAGGAGAACCCGGGGAATTACAGACTGGTCAGCCTCACCTCAGTCCCTGGAAAAATCATGGAGCACGTCCTCGAGGAAACCATTTTGAAGCACTTGGAGGAGAGGAAGGTGATCAGGAACAGTCAACATGGATTCACCAAGGGAAAGTTATGCCTGACCAACCTGATTGCCTTCTGTGATGAGATAACTGGCCCTGTGGATATAGGGAAAGCAGTGGACGTGATATATCTTGACTTAAGCAAAGCTTTTGATATGGTCTCCCCATAGTATTCTTGCCAGCAAGTTAAAAAAGTATGGATTGGATACTAAGGTGGATAGAAAGCTGACTAGATTGTCGGGCTCAACGGGTAGTGATCAACAGCTTAATGTCTAGTTGGCAGCCATATCAAGCAGAGTGCCCCATGGGTCTGTCCTGGGGCCGGTTTTGTTCAACGTCTTTATTAATGATCTGGATGATGGGATAGATTGCACCCTCAGCAAGTTCGCGGATGACACTAAGCTGGGAGGAGAGGTAGACACACTGGAGGGTAGGGATAGGATGAGAAGCTGGATATGAGTCAGCAGTGTGCCCTTGTTGCCAAGAAGGCTAATGGCATATTGG